GTGGAGCAATTGGTAGTATGAAGATTGGCAGGGGAAACCGAAGTACTCGGAGAAAACCTGCCCCAGCGCCACTTTGTCCACCACAAATCCCACTAGACCATATCCGGGATCGAACCCGGGCCGCTGCGGTGGGAAGCCAGCGACCAACCGCTTGAAATACCACGACAGTACAATTTGCCCATGATCATTTCCTTTCACATCCTGTTCGTTACTATTATCAGATCTTTAGACACCACACAGCCTAAGTTACTGACAGCGTCAATACATCATACATTGAATTCTTATAACAATTATATCATGTGGACATTCCACATAAACTAGCCTATACGCAAATTTACGTAGAATGTCTCTGTATGGTGTGTAGTTGGGCCGCGCCATAGCTCAAGCGGTTAGTCGCTGGCTTCCCACCGCTGCGGCCCGGGTTCGATCCCGGGTCTGGTCAAGTGGGATTTGTGGTGGACAAAGTGGCGCTGGGGCAAGTTTTCTCCGAGTACTTCGGTTTCCCTTGCCAATCTTCATTCCACCAATTGCTCCACAATCACCCTCACCTATCATCTGGGGCTGGTACAACAGGCCAGAAGTGGCCGCAGTGCAAGGGACTTAGTCCCACCCCACTAGCAATAAAAAAAAGTGGTGTGCAAAGATATATGTCACCTGGGTAATTACAGCGAAAGTTGGTATCTGTTATATTATACCAAGACACATTCATTAAAATTCACTTCTTGTTGTTCTAGTACCGTCGGTAGAATATAAATTTGTGGACTGGTCATATATCACATAGGCCTATGTACTCGTCCTATGATGTATACACAACTACTCATAAGGACCATGTACAATATGTGAATCTATTGCTCTTTTTTCACGAAACGGAAACCTTTAGTTTTATCACAGCTTCCCCTTGCATCTAACCATTTGATTTTGATTATAACTTGTATTTTTGAAGGTTTGGTACACACTAAATACTGCATATTTTTTATTACTAGTGGGGTGGGACTAAGTCCCTTGTACAGTGGCCACTTCTGGCCTATTGTACCAGCCCCAGATGATAGGTGAGGGTGATTGTGGAGCAATTGATAGAATGAAGATTGACAGGGGAAACCGAAGTACTCGGAGAAAACCTGTCCCAGCGCCACTTTGTCCACCACAAATCCCACTTGACCAGACCCGGGCCGCCACGGTGGGAAGCCAGCGACTAACCGCTTGACCTATGGCGCGGCCCTAAATACTGTATAACTATGACATTGTTCACATAAACTACACATACAATAACAGTTGAATAACACCAATGCTCTCATGAACTCAAACCAAGCACAAATGAGATATAATTGTCTTTATTTTTCACGATTTGAACCTGGCACTTCTGTATACTTCCTCTATCCCTGCAGCATTACCCCTTACTACTCTAGCTGCACGCTCCACAGCAGTGATTGAACACATATAAGGTGTGAAGTTACACGGGGTTATTAGCATGCTGCCTTTCCTATGTAGGTCAACTACCGAACGCAGGACACAGATAATAAACATAAAACAAAAATGAGCACACCCTAATACATCACAATGGTAACAAGGCGTAAATACAGATAGCAGAAAATAAACATAATATAGAAAAACAGTGATAGGTTCTGAATAGTTCTGTGTTTTCAGCGCATGCAAGAAGATGAAAGCTATACTGCACCATTGTTTTCATGCAACTAACAATTGAATATCGTCACTGTTGTTGTTAACTGAATAACACACTATATTGCATGCATCAAGACATCTCAGAATTTCCAAGTTCATCCCTAGGTTGGGAGTTGGTGGATGAGTAGGGCCTGCCAGAAGGAATTTCATCTCTGGTACCATGTTGGAAGTCGGAAGGCACAATCCCTGAAAGGAGGCCGAAGTAAATCTGGTGGAGATGTGACAGATACCGAACAGGAAATTGAGAAGCAGATATGGCCTTTTTTAGTATTTTATATGCCCATTACAACTGAGACCCTGCATTCTGCTTGTCTGTTGTAAACATTTTCAGTTTCCCTGTTGTCTGTGCATTTGTTTCTTCTTCATTCCTATATCCGTTAAGAATAAAGAGCAGGAAATATCTTAGTGAATAGTGGGCAGCATGAACAGAACATGAATATAGTGGAACAGATATACAGAGAGTCCCTTGGAAGTAATAGCTACAAAAATAGATAACCTGGCTTCCAACCAAGACAGAGGGTAAATAGCTAACAATAATAATAAAAAAGGTAAAGTTGTCCCTGTGTCTAATTAATTAAACATTATGCTATGAAGGCATATAGAGGAACGGATGTACAGTTGCACCATTCTTGATAATTGTACTTGATGAAAGTGAGAGGTCAGCTTCATTCCCCTGCCACTTAAATGCTGGGGAAAGAATCCCAGGTACCCATTGGATGGGAGGCTGGGTGTGTGCCAGAGCCACTCTGGACACTGTGAAGAAAAGAAAAATCTTGCCTCTGCAGGGAATTGAACTCTGGCTGTCCAGCCCATGGCATGTCACTATACTGACCTAACCTGACTTCGTAATAGCTAACAGCAATTTAATAATCATTTTTCTTGCCATGTTCTTTGGCTTCTGGCCACTTCAAACTAGTCCTGTCCAGGCCCCAAGTAAAATTAACTGTCCATCCTTGGGATAACCATTCAGGTTCCTCTGTTTAGTTTATCAAAATACAGTTAAGAATTCCATAAAATGTCAGACTTCAACTTTAGGAACACAAACAGTGATTTGTGATATTCTGTAAATTTTATCACAAAGTTACAAGCAACCTGGAGGACCATGAGCAGTCAGGACAGCATATAGTGCAATTGTTTGTCAACTGTTACAGATAATGGCACACATCAGCAAAGCTCATCTGAATCCGGCTGTAACCTTTTCACTTGTCGTCATAGGTGACCTAAATGTGCCATTGGCTGGTGTCTACATTGTCTCGCAGGTCATTGGGGCCACATTAGGTTATGGTGTTCTTATGGTGAGTCAAAGTACATCACTTTAAGGAAACAAAAATAAAACACACTATAGTCTTAAAACTGTGATCATTTGGGTTATGACATCAAATAGTTTCATATTACTCCAGTTAGAACATGCAGGAAACATGTTCCTCCAAAACACTGGTAATTACATATGAATATATGTAGTGTCATAACCCACTGCAATAAAAACCTCAATTTCATATACTATAGTCTGTTTCTTGAATTAAATTAATAAGCTGAATGGCACTAAAGTCTAGCATTAATAATAAGATCAAAAAGTTTGTGATGATGGTACACTGCTACAAGTATTGTTCTTGGACATTATCCATCCTCCTGTCTATTTTCTAAAAAACCGTCATGTTTATTTTTAAAAACACAACATTTTGGAGACTGGATTCAGACCCCATCCTCAGGTAAAACCTACTCAGTTGGATCCAATAGATAGAGCTAGTCCCTATCTCCAGACACCTATGCCAGTTTCAAAAAGGGGGACATAAATCAAACACAACACAAACCATCTGGGAGAGCTAAGAAACTACACAACTCACTATCAAACCATAAAGTTCAATATTGAAATAAATATGCATACAGGATTCAAGAAACTATTTCTGAAAATGATGAGCCCTGATGAGATAGAGACTATCATTGGCAAAATTACCTGCCAGTTAAATTGGTACTAGCTGCAAAGAGTATGTGCTGTGCATTTTTGATGCATTATGGTACAATAATCTCACGCAGTAATACAATAATTTTATTGTAGATATATGCAAGAAAAAAAAATGTCCAATGTAAAGTAAATGGGGATAAATTTTAAGCATCTTGCCTCAATCTTTCAGACATGCAAACTAAGTGTCTGGACTAAACCAGGTCACATTGAATCACGCATAATATTCATGCTGTATGCTTGTAAACTCATGGTCTATATCTAATTGATATCTATGGTACAGGCAATAACTCCGGATCGAGTGCTCAAAGAACACAGTCCAAATGGTACTTGTTGTGCCATGTGTGTCACCTTGGTTAATCCTGAGATGACATCGCTCCAGGGGTTACTAGCTGAGTTTCTGGTCACCTCAATCCTTGTGCTTGTGGTATGCTCTGTCTTTGACAGAAGGAATGCACGCAACACAGATTCCGTCTCGATCAAGTTTGGACTAACAGTTGCTGCCATTGCAATGAATGAGGTATGTTTTACAAACAGTTTGCTCTTCGTTCTTATACAAACCATGGTACTAATAAAAAAACTCTACAATTTAATCATAATGGTGTCTTGAGTAATTAGCATAGACTAATGTCAAGAGGGACACAACTGTAAGACATCATTTAGTCACATCCAGGCAAAGTAACATTGAACTGTAGGATTTGAGGTTCTCACAGATGACAGAATTCTTTGGTATTGAATTGGATTGTTTGCTAGATGGGTGACCACAAAATTTCCTACTTCTCTTCTCTTTGGCTAATTATCAGCAACCAGTGACTGTGCTCTGTTGTCTACTCTGCATGTTTACATATCTGTACTGCCTCTTTGTGTCACTCATATCTTGGCAGGCCTGTGTTGAGAACTGACCTGACTTCCTGAATGCTAACTACTTAACAAAGACATAAAATCCCACGTATGTACCTGTGACATGTAAAAGATGAAGGAAAATTCCAGTTCTTAAAGAATTCCATTAGTTATACCTGGCCTGATTTCAGAATGAATGCAAACATACTTTGTATGATTTCATGTTGAAAAACAAACATCTTGTTTCAGGGTGCATACACTGGAGGAAGTATGAACCCTGCAAGGTCATTTGGACCTGCCATCTGGACTGGAGTTTGGGAAAATCACTGGGTGAGTCTTGTTTGGAAAAAGTGGCCTGCATTTAATTAAAGCTGGGTTCAATATACCCCAGGCATCTGGTCACCACAGCACTGAGTGTTTTGTAAAGTAATACTCAAAAGTTCATTATGATATTTCTCCAGAGCCAAAAGTTCCTCTTATACATCTTTTTTGACACTTAAAAGATTTCATTTCAGCTGCTTGGGTTTAACAAAATTCCTGGTCTGTACAAAGGTGTGACATCTGCTATAACAGTATAAACTTCCAAATCTGCTGTACTTTAGGTATAAGAGAAAAGATGACTACAGAAGGTTCATCTGAATCATATGATGGTATCATAACCAAGGAGACCATTTTATGAATTCTCTTTATTGTTCCACATTTCTCTTGAGGGTGTTCACTTCACACAAATATTCTACAACCCATCACAAGTTCTTTGATAATTCTCAAATAATAACAGTTTTGTGCCACAGGTCTACTGGGTTGGACCACTTGCCGCAGGGCTCCTGACGTCAGCATTCTATAGGTTTGTATTTGGTCTCCCTCCAGTACATCAGTCACTGCCTCAAGAACTAGATCAAGGTGTACCACTGACGGGTGTGAGAGATGGAGGAACAGAAGAGACCAATATGAAATGAAACTATCATTTCTATCATGATGATCAGTACGAAGCAACAGACGTTGTGTTCATTAGGAATTACGATTTTACAGAAGTGATATTTCTTCATTTTCTTAAATTCGTCCTATTCAGCAGTCATAAAATATATTTTAGATATAACAAACTTACATATTTTTGTCTTCCATTTTGACTGTTTTCTACTCAACAATGAAGTATCCATCAAACTTGTTTTATATATAATATCATAAAATACAATGTATATGAGTGAATATTTTCTTTGCTGTTTCAAAGCATTTTGTATATATTACCAAAATTGCAAGGCAATGCTTCTTCGATCACAAGTGTAGAGTTATGCTCAAGATCTCTTCTTGTTATTTAGACCATTTTTAAGAATAGGCTCAAATGCAAGGTTATCACAGTACATTAAGAACAAGTTCTACATACTCTGCTTATTCATAGAGGCTTGCATCTTAGTAATCACCAGAATGATGATGCCTGTTACGTGTCCCAGTGTGCATGTTGATAAGATAGATTTCATTCTAAATCTGACTCAGATGTATGAATGGTACGATTATAAGAGCAGTGTAAAATATTGTATGTAAAGAAGTATATATAAAATAAAGAACTAAATTCTTTCTCATTTGTTAACAGAGTTAGTCTAGATTTGTGTTTCCCAGAGCTCCTTCTTCACAGCACATGAAAGTAAAAGCTATACACAGTCTTATTATGATGCGAAAGATTTTATATATACATGAATATGTAATGTGAGATCTGAGGCTCTCACAGCAATGATCACAAAGATACAGTATTCCAGGATGTGACATCACAGTCTGGTTGATGTATAGTGACATTTTGAAGGAATTTGCTGCCTCCATCATCAGGGTTTATGAGTAAGAGAGGGTAGTGGAATATTTGTACTCTAAAGATGGAGGTAGATGTTCCTTAAAATGTCAGTGAACCTCTACCAGACTATATGGATTCATATCACATTTGTACAAAGTTAACAAATTTATAGAAACTTTCTGGTATAATAATAATCACTCGTGGAGCTGAGCCCTTCTTGAGAAACCACCAACTGTGCAGCTACTCAAGAATTTCCCAGAATTTTATGGAACCTCAAGGTTCATTATCATTTTCACAGGGCCTTTCACTTGTCCCTATCCTAAGCAAGATCAATTCAATCATATCTCTCTAAGATCCATTTTAATACTGTCCACCCACCTACATCCTAGTCTTCCTAGTGGTTTATTTCCTTCTGGCTTTCCCTCCAATATAATAATAACATTAAATATACCATCAAAAGCAATGTCCAAGTTCTTGCCCTGGCATTTCCATGATGTCCATTCATACACATAGAAAACAGACAGGAGCCACTCATAAATGAAACATGCATATTTATTGCCATATTCAAGGGTACACATGCCCTACTTTGTTTCAGTAGTAAATCTGTCATTACAGAATTTAGCCACCGATATCTGAGACATTAATGAAGAATAGTGCATTTCCATGGACCATAGTTTGGGAACCAATGATGTACAAGGGGGGACCCAAAAATAACCGGAAACGACCTGTTGCACACGCATGCTTTGTAGTTACGAGTTGTGCTGCAAGGTGGTGTTAGCTGGGGGTCTCCCACGACAGTTAGTGAGCTGGCGTCAGTCTGAGTTAAGTGGTTTGTCTGTGGTGCTCTGTTATGTGCGTTCCTGTTTCAACCCTTTGGCGATTAGTGAGATGGCCGACCAGAAGGAACAATTCTTTTAAGAAATTTGGGATCATTCTGCACTTCACTCTTCAAGTCGCGGCAAACATTCACGCGGTTTTCTCTTTGGTCATCTCCGAGCAAGCGAGGAACAAATTTTGCAGACACCCGTCTCATGTGCAAACCTTCGGTTAAAATTCGCTGGACCGTGCTCCATGAGATGTTCGTTTCCTCAGAAAGTTGGTCAATGGTCTTTCGACGATCTTCATCAATTGCACGTTTGATTTTGGCAATGTTTTCGTCATTTCTTCCTGTNGCAGTCATGTGACTGTTGCTGTGGAAATATGTTTACAGAGCTATTCCCTAGCAATGGACATCTCTTCTGATTCCACAATTCTGGCTTTGGGCCCTCATGTCACAATATCTTATAATTATTTATATTATCATGAAAAATTTATCAATTTAAAATGCATATTGCTTCAGTAACTTTCAAGTACTGTCAGTCTCAAAACTAAACAGTGACTAGGCAAGTTGACAGATTATCACCATTGACAATGCTCATACAGTTAGCAATATTGTCATGTGAGCAGCAGTGTGGTGAGGCATGTCACCTAGCAGCATGCCTTACATTTGAGGGAAAGACTGAGACCCTGCTTCTTGAACATCCTGAGCTGTCAGCTAATGATGCCAGAAGTTGCATGAGAAATATCTGCAATCTTTCCAGGGTATGGCCAAGTTCATAAAAACAGTGAGGACAGTCTTAGTTTCATTGAGAGTTTAGAAGTGGTGCAGAGAAGAAATATGTGTTGAATCAGAGGCGATGTAGAGTGCATGCAGTAAATCACAAGCTAATTCAGTGCAAGATGCAAGACAGGGCAATGATGATATAGTCAAATAGCAGTGGACAAGAAACAAGCTAACGTCAGGATGTGTGTGGCTACTGATGAGACAATTACTGTTCCAACATAATGACAAACGTTTTATTACCAATATAAAATGACTTATTCATAATCTTTACCAAAGTCACAGCTGTGTACAATATCTGGCTACTATGACAAGAGACTTATCTATACATGTGATGTGATG